ACACACATTTAATCTAGATGACAATACAATATTAATAAAAAAAAATTTAACAAAAAAAAACATAAAATAAAACCTTTAACCGTTTAACTTAAAAGTTTTTAAACGGTTTTTTTATTAATTAAAGTTAGATGTAGGAAAAGGAATGATGGGACGACGAATGATGGGAGTAACTGATGCAGGAATAGAATTAGTCTTGCATATCCTACAGTCTTGGGAAGACGTCACCATAATTATGACCTGTTCTGTGACCTTTTCAAAAAATAGAGAGAACAAGATCACGGTGTTTCTTGCCGGTTCTTCTCCGGACGTGTCTAAATTAGTGAACGAGTGATAAGTTTACAGCTTAAAATAAGCCTTGTATAGGGAAATTTTAACTTACTTGGGACAGCTATAGAAGCTTGAGTCGGTCGCCTGATATGGTCAGTCTAAGGCAACGCTTAACAGGGATTAAAGTTCACTTTAATCCCCTTTCAGCGTTGTTTTGGACACAATTCGTTCTGAACAGATGTTTGTTTGCAGACGCGAGAAAACCGCGACGCGTTGTTGCAGATTTCTCGTAAATGAATATAACAATACATCAATTGTTGTTAGCGGAAAACGACAGCCCTGTCGTGCACGTGCTCACTCGAATTATTCTTTTCGCGTACGTCACCGTCGCTAACACGGCCGTCGACAAATACCGGAATAATTCGTTGGGTCGTCGAAGGGTCGCTTATTGTTTCTTTGTGGGGCCGTTAAAAGGGTTTCGAGAAGGATCCAGAAAGGCTCAATACGCAGCATGAATGTTTTAATGGAGGCCGAACCGACGTCAAACATTTTGTGCACGAGAAACATGAATCTTATTTGATCCGAAACGTGAAATACCATATACCGCATATAATATAAAGGACGTTGAGAATTTCGTCGGTGTGGTAATCGGCCATTTAGCTTAGTGGCTAGAGCGTCAGGCCGCGAATGCCGAAGACGTGGGTTCGATTCCCACCGCGGCGACAATCTTTTCGAACTTTTTCTACGTTTTAATGTTCAATCTTAAGTGTAGATATTAGCACTATAAAAAACTTTAAATTTATAAAAGCAATGGCGACATCTCTCGTTCGAATTATCGTTGTAAAACGATATTCGAAATTGTTTGTATGCTGGAAAGGATATAACAATAGATGCGCCAAGCATTGCTTCAAATGCTAAATAACAATGTAGAAAGAAGGCGTTAAGATTTTCGTCGCTGTGGCTATTAGCCGTTTAGCTTAGTGGCTAGAGTGTCAGGGCGCAAATCCCAAAGACGTTGGTTCGATTCACACAGCGGCGAGGAACTTTTCGTTCAGTTTTTCTAAAAATTTTAACCGCTTTATAGTATCTGAAAATTATGTGTTTTATATGTTTGTACGTGTGTGCATTGTTCCATATTGACGCCGAACGTCTAGACGCTTGGCGGCATTTTCGAGCGACTGCAAAAAAGAACGAGATTCTCAAATCGGTTGTAGTTTTGTTTGTGGTTCGTTACCTCAGTACCAGAGCAAATCACTTAAAATAATTTAACTGGTATCTATTAAGGTTATTCCCGCGGAAAAGTCCGTAACTGGTCAATACTGAAGCGTTTTTGTGTCGAAATTGTAAAATTCAATTTACGTAGTGAAATGATCATGACCGTATCTCCCCTGGAGACGTTAAGGCTAAAAACGCGTATTTTTTATTCGAACCGACTTCGAAAAAGGAAAGGAATTCTCAATTCAGTTGTATTTTTTGTTCGTACCACAGAACTCTAAGTACAGTCATACATGACCGAATTTAAACCGAATTTAAAAAATTATTGGCACTGGCTTCGGTTTACCGCCCATGCGGGTAACATAATACTTTCATTGATACTGGACCTTGAATTCCGGACATACATAGGGGAACTCCTCAAAATCAAATAGAATATAAAGTTGTTTTAGTCTTTTGTTAACAAAAAATTATAGTTTAGCTACTGGCTATGTTTATCACTTTGTAATAAAAAAATATGATTTGGTGATACATATATTATGCGCCGCGACAACTTGAAAAATAATTTTACAACTCAAAAAATAACCACACGATTTGTCAAAGAACCAAGCGAACAAGTTTATGTAATAAAAAAAAAAACGAAAACCGATTGAAAACGTCAGTCGCATGCTTTCCACGGCAATTATGCGCTAACACGTACAATGTAATAGTCACCTGCCATTAAGCACAAAGCAAATTGCATTACGGGGAGCCTCCAATGCGCTGTTGGATGCAACAGTGATTTATGAGACGCCATTTAATGACAGCAGTGTACGGTGATTTTACGGGAGTGTTTTAATCTAACGCTTCTCGCATAAAGGGGTAGGCAGTTATAACGGATTTGTACTTTTTAAATAAATAAATAAATATTACGGACACATTTTTACACAACGTTCTCTAGTCCCAAACTGAGCATCGCTCGTACTATGGACACTAGAAAACTGATAAAAATAGTTAAAACATACTTTTATAAATAAATACATATTTTACATACATAAACATCCAGACACTGGAAAAACACCATGATCAGCATTCAATAATTTTCCAGTAACGGGAATCGAAACCACACCCTCTGGCGCAAGAGGCAGGTACACTACTCCCCGCCGATCGGGTCGTCGATACAGATTGTTAATGCTGTTACAACGCAATATGTTCGGTCGTTAGTTAAGAAGTCTGTAGAGCGTTTGATCCCTTTCACGGGTTTGCGCACCGCAAAGAGAAAGCCCTCGTGATTTTTTTGAGGGCACTCGTCTTGTTGCCACATGCTCGGAACTCTTGGCGTTGACATATCGAGCGGCGTTCAATTTAGGGGTCATATGGAAGGGAAAGGAATCTAACTCCTAAAAATCTCGGTTTCCCAAGTGGGACGGGAGAGTATTTTCCGCCAGCCCATCGCTTCCAGCTCCATACAGACTCGGCCACAGGTGGAATTATTTTCTCAGCTCTGATACTCCCCAATCCAGCTCCGTCTATTTGACTGCAATCAAAGAAAAGCTGCTCGAATCTTCGACGACCATGCCCTGTACGATTACCTCGACCCTTTGGCCTAGTAAAGGTAACATCTCTTTGCTGTTTGTATCGGATATGTCACGGAGAACTTTTTTTGTCATTTTTATAACAGTATCAAACTATATGTTCTCCTACCTACTCATGCATACATAGAGGGAGGGAGGGAGAGTAACAGCCTATACATGACCCACTGCTAGGTAAAAGCCCCCTCTGTACAGAGGGTATATATATAATCCACCACGCGGCCCCACAGATTGGCGGACTACACATATCTTCGAATTGTTTTTGCTATTATTTCGAAAATATGCAGGTTTCCTAATGATGTTTTCTTTCATCGCAGAGCGCGTGATAATTCTGGGTTTTAAATCGACTATATCATTGTTGTTGGCACCGTGGATCGAACTCAGGTTGCTCGAGTAGTCAATTTTAAGGCGAGCGCCCGGACATTGAGCTATCACGGCTTATAACCGTATTCAGGTAACCAGGGTACATTGTTTTAAACCTTAGCAACTGTAATCTCTCTCTCGTCTTAGATGCTCGTGGACGGCTGTAATTACTTAACATCGTGTGAATTGTCCGCTCGCTTGCGAACTTTTGACATAAAAAGTTGGTATGAGAATTTAAAATTATTTTTATTGCGGTCCAAGACATAATAAATAATAACTCTTCATCTTGATAACAAATAATTTCAAAAGTCATTAATATTGTTGCTGCACATGCCTGATCAGTATCATCGATCAATCCCAACCGGATATGGGTAAAAATCGAGACAGGTAATTTGCAAATAATATTTACAAAGTTTATATATATAATACGCATTACAGTAACATTACATTGTCGTACTAAAACTTACATATGTAAGTTACACAGATGCGGTTTAACAAACGTGGGAAATATTTTATGACATATTATTTTTGAAAATTAAGTGAATGATGTGCATAAAAAGTGGTCGATGTAAACCATTAAGATTTACTACGTGCTAGATTGATCACGAGACGACATTCTGGCTGCTAGGCCACCAAATAGCAACGAAAGCAATCTCATACAGTTCACTGCGACGGACAAGAAATCGACCAGACCCTTGCAATAATAAAGCAAGGCAGTATAATGGTTTCTCCAGCCCTAAGACGGAGCAAAGACCTGAGCCCGTTATAAAAAAGGTAATAATAAGCGTATAATGGACTCGAAGCGGGGAAAACCATCATCGCCCTTATGCTGAAGTATCAATAAGGTCTAAAATTACTCAATAAAACGGAACAAATCACTTCACGAGTTACACGAGCTGTCTTTATCTATATATAGAACTGTTCGAACGTTTGTGGACCGAATAACTTCTGGACGAAATTACCGAATGACGAAGAGCCACAAAGGTGCATGAATCGTACATGGAACCGTCGTCGATTCAAATGTTTGTACCTTTTGAACATAATGACCGAATGATGAAGAGTCGCAAAGGATCCTGTCTGTGAATGAATCCTGGCCGTGCATGGAAGATGAATGGAGTTAAACACTTGCTTTAGATTGGCCGCACATGTGTGAATGGTGTGTGATTGTATCTGATAACCGCCAACAAGTTTATAATCAGGAGAAAAGCTAGTTCGTTTATCATTGCTTTAACTTTGTTATGACTGTTACCGATAACTTTATCGGTAACGGGTAGAGGGTATGATTCAAGTAACTTCGTAGAGACTACCCTGGCACAGGTCACTAACTAACATTGGCAGCGTGTAGCTTACTGTGTATATCTTTATAAAGATTCAAATTGCATCTTTAAGAGCTTTAAATCACAACTCATTCAAAGCTATTCACCCTGCAGGATCATTAGAGCTTTGAAACACAACTCACTTGTTTCACCAACCGCACGCCTTCGCCGCGCACCGTCCGCTAATCAGCGTCCAATCCACCGTCCGATGAGATTCGCAGAGGAACAACACGCGAAAACGCGAAAGGAGACCGCACTCGAACCCGATCTACAGTTGAACCCATTCGATCGGTCTTATTAGAGCAAAAAGCCGCTCGCGTTGTCGCCAAACCGAGCCGGCGCTCGCGGCAGATGTCCCGCTATGCGCTTTCCTAGATGCCCCGACACGGAAAGCTGTGCGCACGCGCCTTGACCGCCTCCGAGGCTCTAGTGAGGTGGACACGCCGTGCGGATGCAGGAGAGTGACATAACGAACTGCCACAACTGCTATAGCACGAGCGGATAGCGTAATGACATCTACCACAACTGCTATAGCAGTCCTAAGAACATTAGCGTAATGGAAGATAGCTTAAAAACCAATTAAGTGAATAGCTTAATACAACGGTAAGTAGATAATTAATATAAACACTACTGAGTTGTCACTATCATGCTAAGATGTCCGGCAGTCGGGTATTAATAGACACAACTTATACTTATTCCAAATATATGGTATTTAATTCCCTCTAACACTATTTAAAAGGTCTCATATATCATAATGAACAATCAGACGAAAGTAAGGCGTCAGCGATATGAATTTTTATATGGTATCCAGTATTTCTTTTTCAAATTACTTAGGGTAAAAACATAATTGGAAAAAGAGTTATACAATGAATGTATTAATTCAGTCATGACGTTGTTCGTTAACGTTAACAGAGTTAAACTGCTATATCTCGGCTGCGGGCGTCACTAGCGCGGACTGGATGCGGTCGCGCCTTTTTCGGAAGTGGTCGAGCCATCGCATCGGCTGTGGCCCCATCGCGGGATTTTTCGCGGAATCCATACTCGGTCGCATCGCCGAGTCGCGAGGAGCACACGGGAAAACGTTCCGTGTGTTCGTTTTATTCCTTCCACCACACGGTCGGGTCAAGTATCAAACTTAAAATTCAAACGTACAGCCCATACTTACATACCACTGTTTGGCGTTTTACACAAAGAATTATTTTTTATTTGATGGGGTGCCAAGCGAGCCTGCGATTCACCTGATGTTAAGTGATAACCTTCGCCCCGTCTCTAGACATCTGCAACACCCGTAGGGCTCCAACAGTGGAACATATGTTGGCTGTTACTTCACGTTTTTTTATATTTTATTTGAACTATTCTTGAGTTGCGAACTTCATAGCTAAGACTGAGATACCGTACACCTTACACTTATCTAGAGTTAGTAATACTTCTCGTTTTAAGCCCTAGTGCCCTCTTTAAACAAGTACAGAATATATATTACATCTGGAGTGACGAGCGAAGTACACTTCGTTATATTTACCTCTTCTCAAGCCCGCGTTTCCCTATAAAATTTAAATTTATTTTTTAAGCGGGGTCAGCGGTGTAAAACTGAGTAAAAATTATTATCTCTCTGCGTCCTATCTATATCGAAAACCGTGAGTCCTATGTATCTACATCTAAATAGTTTTGTCTATAATCGTCCGACAAAATATTGGAACAAAATCCCGGGTTAATTATCCTTGATATTGGCAATAAACATATCGGCCAACCATAGTTTTTAGCCTGCATTGGAAACCCCATTACTCACCCTTCTGGTGACAAGCGTCAATTATAAACACAAAACCTTTACCGGTGCTAAACGGCAGAACGGGACACGCACGTCGGACCGTCAGCGCGCTATCTTCTGGAACGATCTAGAAGATAACGATGTCAACCATTTGCGCGAATCGAGTGTGATACACGTAAGGGGATTTATTGACACGAAAGGCCGATTAAATTCAATACTGGATAAACTAGAACAGTCGTGTGCAGTTTGTACAAGCTTTTTACCGCTTTAATCTACTTCGTTTAAGTCCCGGAAAAGTTAAACCTTATCTGGGACGCAGAGCATACGATGTGGTAATGTACAACGGTTATCGGTAGGTACGTAAGGGTACCATAATTATAAAAATATATCTTGCTCCACTCGCCACCAAACTTCGCAGATTGGCTGAATATTTAATCAAAATCCATCCAGCGGTTTTGGACTCCATAGGAAACATACGACATAAATTTGAATTTATACATAGAAGCTTTATTTATTAAAACTTGTAGAAAAATTATGAAAAGATTGTCGCCGCTTGCACAACTTTTCCGGAAATTGGAAACTCGCCGTGTTTACTAGCGCCATCTATTAGCGTTGCTATTAATATTGCCGCGAAACATTACTCGAGTGTTGCTTACCCTCCTGTACTCAACGATTCGGAAAACCGATAAGTTTGCAAAGGGGCTCGAATTTGTTGCAGGAGTGCTTTAACAACTCCCCGAGGATTTTATGAACCGCATACAAAAATTAATGTCAGCACTTATCCTGTTTATGATCTCGCTTTTACTACCACCATCACGAAACATAGTTATGATCTTATACAATAGCTGAAATAACTTGAGCCGTGTTAGCTCATTGTCCGGACGCTCGCTTTCAATTCAATGTACCCGAGCAACCCGAGTTCGATTCCCGGTGCCGGCATGGATGAAATTGTTAATTTTAAATGCGGGCTTATCACATGCTCGGCGCTGAATGAAAAATTCGTGCGGAAACCTAATTTTTTTCGAAATAAAAAAATATATATTTCGAAGATACTTTTGAAGTCTGCTAATCTGCACTGAGGTCGCGTGGTGGACTATGCCTTGATACTCTCTATACAGACGAGGCCTTTCCCCAGTAGACATACATATACATGCTGTTACTTTAACTTTTTTTTTATTTACTACAATAATTGAACATGTTCATATTTTGTAGATAGCTTGGTGTTTTGTTTTAAACGATAATAGCTACCCAACCCAGCTTCCCACGGTGCAATGCTGAATGTTTGTTTTCGTCATCGCATTAGAAAACTCTAAAATTAACAGTATTTCTCTACTATATTATGAATTATATTGGATCAATCTATCCACTAAAGAAAAGCGGCATCAAAATTCGTTGCGTAGTTTTAAAGATCTAAGCATATACATATAGTTACAGACAGACAGCGTGACGACTTTGTTTTATACTATGTAGTGATGCGCGGTGTTTATAAAGACAGCATTACGCTCAGATCCCAGAACATAAGGGTAAATTTATCCCATTTGGGAATCGCATCCATGGCCCCCGGCGTCGAAGCCAACAGCTCACTAACTGTGCCCACCGATTCATCGAAGTACGAGTATATATCGTCAAAATTCAGTTATTGCTCATATACTTGATCAATACTTATCGTTCAAAATAAAGAAATTTTCCTATGCTTTGGAAAAATGTATGTTATTTCTCTTTGTCTTGTATACCTTGCAAAAATGGATGGGCATTTAAAAAAAGGAGTTTACTTTATGAATCGCAAGAGAAACACGATTATGCTAATACATACAACAAACATGTTGTGCCGGCAATTGTTTCAGTTAGCGCGTTTAATTTTCATAATTTTTTGTACGTAGATTTTTGTTGCTATTTTTTGATGCACGAGTTTTGAATGGGAAAAATTGAAGCATTCTAAGAAAGTGTAAATAATTTATGATTAACGAAAATATTCGCGTGAGAAATAATTTATTTTTCTAAAGAACTAACTATGAACGTTTTAAAAGAAAAACAATAGAGATGTCTTTATGGCGTATTTGCATTAAAAGTAAAGTTCCTGCTCATGTTTAAAACATTAAAGTACCTCGAATAAATTTCGGTTATTGTTTTCTCGATGCCGAGACATGAACTTGGACAAAGTCACATTTATCCACTTTAACAAAGGTTTATAAAATTATAACTTTGATTTTTAGTCGCGAGACGGGGCGCGACCCCGATCCAGGTACCTCTAACCCTGACGAGGGATCTCCGATAGGTCAGAAACTGGTGCAGACATCGATTAAACGTGAGTTCAGCCGTTTTATTATATCGTTAATAATATCTAACGATTTTTTTTTTTATAATTTTAACTATAAAAATATTTACATTTTTAATTCCTGTTATTCCAACTCCAGAGGATATTTATCGATAAAAAATGTTAGAATTTTTAATTCCTGTTTTTCCAGCTCTAACTCTTAAGAATCAGATTATCAAGGGTTATATGGATTTTTTAAAACGTTTAATAGCATTCAGTATCGTGGCCAACTGCCCACATCCGGGATAAATACCTATCTCGTGCTGATATCCAACTCACCATCGTAACACTGAGACCAATTTTGCAACTGCGCTAAAACGACCATCTTAAATATACGTATAAGTATATTAAATAAGCCTTGATCTCAATTCACAACTAACAGTTCAAAAGCTTCCCCGTATACTCATTAGAAAGTTAGCACAGACGAACGTATGACATGGCAGATCCTCATATATAAGGGGAAAATTGGTGCAGTGTACGACAACCGCTTGGGCTTCGCAGAAACACCTGACATCATATGAAAACATGCCCGAAAGGTTCAAAAAAGCCGCAGAACAAATATATAACTACCGAGAGTATCACCATAGAGCACAGCAAAGGTGTTTAATCTGATAAATAATTAGTCTAACAGGTCACAGACCCACCTTTTCAAAGATTGACTACGCACTAGATAGCGTTCTGGCGTTACGGATATCCCTGGTGGACAGTGCTACTGACCAGGAGGTAAACCGCTTGATCATTTGCCACCAGTACTTTGAAATTATATAAATTGGTTTAATAGCATCGGTGACGATTTATTTGAGCTGATTAAGTTCACAAACTGAAAGACTAAGATTTTGTAACGACGTCATGAACAGTCAAATAAATTTATACAATTATAACTTCATTATAAAACACGTGTTTTTTCAATTCATTGTTAATACGAATATGTCAATTTATGAAAAGGCCAACATACAACAGAAACATAGACTGGAAACCGACGTACGTCACGACTGAATGTATTAAGCCTGCGAATGCTAACTCGGAGTCTTCAAGCGCATCGAGTTAGTTTAAATTGAGTTGCTAGAGAGCAACCAAACTGAAACTGGATCCAGAAACGAGGCGCGCCTTACCGAAGACGGTAACACAAAGCCTTCATAAACGTCTCGTTAACAAGACGGGTCAAAACAATAACTGTGTTTAGTTATTGTACCGCTGTCTCTACACCTATTCATCTATTCGCCATTAATTAGCTTGTAGAGTTCAATGCAATATTTTGACATAACCTCAATAACAGTACAAAAAACTTATGGTAGACTCGATTTACTGACACACAAAATCAGGGGAGATGTTGGACTTTGAACTCTGGAGATTTGTCAGGGAATTCTTCCAAATCAAAAGGAAAGGTAAAATGAGTGTGATATTTGAAGTCGGTTTTGTTTTTTGTTAATCAAAATTTCATCAAAAATCAAATTGTCACAACATAATTATACAACCGCTTACTATGTGATGTACGTATACCGCACATCTGCCATTAAAGTGTACAAAATGAACTTATTATGGTTGTCTTTATACAACATTATATAGTCATACAAATACAATAATGGGACAAGTATATTTACGCGAAGCAAACGCGCCACGCGTCTCAGTCAATAAGTTACGTATTCATTTCCTTAAATGGCTCGCTCATCCATACTCATCGCGAACGATTCGCGGTACCTAATAGCCATTAAAAACGAGTGCTCAAGGTATGTATAATCGTTAATTGATTGCACGTGACTTGCAGACAAACGCACACCAGCGCAGCCGGTCAATTAAAAAACGGCCAATCAAACGCATGTCTTAGAAATATTGCCAGTCAGATCTAGTCCTATGCACTGTGGTCATTAGCAATGACGAAATTAATTGGCCGCTTCATTTGAACAGTTCCGAACGAAGGACTGGAAGAGTATTCATGTTTTAGGAGACACTAAATTTAGCCTTAAGTAAAGTAACAGCCTTATATATGTCCCACTGCTGGGCAAAGGCCTCCTAAAGTCAAGGCCTAAAATATGCAGGTTTTGTGCGGGCGAGCGCCGGGCCTCTGAGCTATCACAGCTTTTAATAAAGTCTAACCGAGATTTGAAAACTTTCTCTTAATTAATGAGCTTCACGGCTCTTAAAAATAAATTAGCTTACTTTTTCTATAAAGATTATTTACGGACAGAATCAGGGTCAAATAAGGTAAATTTCGTAAATTCACCCGAAGCATGCTAATTTTGAATACGTTAAATTGTTCAATTAACTATTTTCTTAACGAATTACATCTAATGGTAATTAGAGCATGGTAGTTGTTCCTTCAACAATTTGTACTTCATTAAATGAACCCACGTGAATGTGATAAATAAATAATCCAAACGCACCGTAAATACCCGTATATGTCCCACCGCTGGTAAAAGGCCTCCTCTCCTCTATACGGACGGTATTGTTAGATACCGCACCATTTAACATAATACATACATAATAGTTTATATAACAGTTATGTCAGCGGGTACACCATGAAACACAGCGGCGACAGCGGAAAAAGTACCATAAATAAAATGGCGGACCTACCGCCAGCCCAGACCGGGCACTAGGAGGTAATGGCCTGCGACAGAAGCCGCCATCGCCATAACTCGGACCCCATATGGACGCAAGCCGTTAAAGGGCCGAGACGGCATATCGATAACGTGCTACGTAAGTGTGTATATTTTTATTTCAAAGGGAGTTTAGGGACAATTAACAAATAGGTCATTGCGCTAATTAGAAACTAGGTCATCTTATGTTCATCAATGAGAACAGTCGCCCATAGATACTTACTAATCCAAACACGTTACAGAGTATGTAAGAGATCATGTATGCAGTCTCACACTCTGTATGGATCAATTAATATTAAAGATACGATTGCATATAGCTATTCATTTATGTTACTAAACAAAATCCAAATAAAATACTTTAAAGTTTAAACTGCTCCCTCGTTTTAAGTTTTGTTTATCTATAAAAGTAACACTGTAAGTTGTTTTCTTTTCTTTTTTAAATGTAGTAACTTCTATCATGTTATTTTCTGTTTAATTAAGTTCTAAGTAAACTGTGTATGTTTTATAGATTGAGTGGTGCAATGTAACTTACGATAAAATAAATGAAATGAAAAAGTCAATGCTGATGACATTCTTATCGTAAAAGCAAAACACGTAACGGTAATTTCTGCGTGATACGGTGAAAATAATAAAAACGACATAACGTAATCCGAAATAATAAACATCGTGGTCATAATCGCCTCAAATATGTCACGTACCCACGAATTAAATCCGACGAGCGCGTTCTTATCACAAGGTCGTTGATAAAACGCGGGTCGGTCGAACTCGATAGAGAGCCGCCAACACTAGACGGCACGGCGCCGGTAATTCAATCCGGTCAAGAAGGGAGGCCACTTATCGCCTCGCCCCTGCATACGTAGCGCCGTTCACCCGCGTTTCGCAGGGTTGTACTCGCCTCGCCTTCCGCCTGGCGAACTCCCCCGGTCATAAATCGCCCTCCCCGCAAGCGCCCGGCCTAATTACCGGGCCACTTGTGAATATTCGAAACGTCCCGACCGTTTCGTCCCAACCGTCCCGTGTAACTTACCCGTAACACGCGCAAGTTACTTCCACGTAATTTCATCCGTGCTGAAATTGGAGAAACCGATGCAAGCTGCATTTTACGACGTGCTGTTCAGCTGAAGACTAATTTAGCTATTCAACAACCATTTTTAATAGCGCTTAACGCATATATTAAGCCTCGATCAGTTTCCAATGTGTCTACTATTACGTTCTTATGAAAGAATTTAACTAGAACATATAAATTATATCTAAAAAACCTTGTTGATAGTTTTTGCTTGATAAGTAAATGATAACACCAAGCTTATCAGAATGTACCGTCATCCATTTTAATAACGCAAAAATCATCAAAAGTCATATTCATCGATAATATCCTATACGATCCAGTAATTTTCGATTCTGATTCACAATAGGTATCTATATAATATCTCGATATCTTTCTAAGGACATCAAGGACAAAGACTCTTAACATAAGCATACTCTCTATACACAACCGGTAATAGGGTTTCGCGGTGGTAGGGCCACGCAGCAGCCTCGGCTGTTGCACGAATGGGCAGGATCGTCCGGGTAAGTACCACGACCTCACAGAAGACCGGCGTAGAGTGGAAGTTTAATACTTTCGCATTTCTTCTGGTAAGAGAGGTGGCCGGAGCCCAATTTTCAAAAGGTTGTCAACGCATCTGCAACCCTCGAGTGTAGCAGATATCTAAGGGCGGTCGTTAAGTGTAATTACGCAGTGAGGTAGCCAGGGTCATATACAAAAATGTTGAACCGTCGCTCGCTTTTTTCCAAAACTCGAACGCTGAATAATAAATGGCATTATTGAAATCACCTTTTTCTTGCTCTAATAGAGGCACATAATAATTTATAACAACTCAAGATTGTTTAGTCTGTCACTAAACAAATATACGCACATATCGGTCCGTCCACATCGGTACCCAAACGCCGACAAGTGATGCCTAAATGCCTATCGCTTAGCGACTGCGCCAACCTGGTCACTGACTTTAAATTTATAAAAAAAAAAAGAAACTTCACAGTTTTCTTCTTTATTATACAGAAAAGCGACGCGACTTGTGGAAATGTCTACCCTTAATCAACAGTTGGTTTCGAGACGGCTGATATACGCACGACTAGACATTTACCCCGGAGCCGCGTGGTTGCCCGGTTGCTTTCATTTGCCCCAAAGGCGGGTACCGACCCGATGGAATCTTGACGGGTAATATTTAAGGTGTTCGTGTTAAAAGATAGTATTTAAATAAAGTATATCTGATTATAAAAAAAAAACAGCAACAAATTATATGTCTCAGTAGTTCTTTTTGAAGAGATCCTACTTTTGACGCGTTTGGAAAAAAATATAAGAGTAAAATTTTTACAATGCAAACGCACACCGACATCCAAGAAGCGACATGACGAATGAACTTCACGGTAAGTATTACACACGTATTTTTCCTTATTTGTCTAGTCTATTATAATTGTTAAAATGAAGGAATTTTCTTCGTAAGCGATACGATACTCGTTTATGAAAAGTTTATTATACCAAATGGAAAAAAACATAATCCATTGTAACGTTTATTATATATAAAAAATATACAGTTTTTTTGTTATTATTGTATTATTACCAAAATTTTGTCGTTTAAGAGATGTGATTAACAAAGAAAGAAACGATGCTATGTAAACTTTACTGCCAACTAAAACAAAGAATACTTTTCACCACTGATTCCTACATTTCATTCAGTTAGGCAATAAACTCACTTCTAACACTGAGGAGTTACTCAGAGCGTACAAAATTCCATATTGTGACGAGGCTGTCCACGCGTAACCGTTTTTATTTTTTTATTTTTAACGGACAAAAACAGACGGCTCTTAATCGTAAAATTACGCGCCAGAAATGAAGGAAGTGCGTCACTTGAAAGTTTCATTTCGAAGGCACACTTTTCCGGGCGACGCAAGAGGTGAATGACCTAGCGGAAATCGCGGAAGGCTCTTTAAACTTTTCACGCAATATTTCCTTCCGCTTTCGGACGCGATCGATTTCAATATTTTCACGCTGAGTGGGGGGTGGGGAGGGCGTCACGGGGAGAAAAGGGTGGCCTCAACTAACGTGCAAAGAGACACATTTCAAGAAAAAGTGCGAACATAATTCAATTCATGAATTTACCTACGGTGCGTAACAGTCTACGCTGTTGCACGAATGAGCAGGTCCGTCCGGTAAAGTACCACAACTTCTGCGTTCCGTATGGTGAGTGAGATAGCCGGTGCCCTCTTTATTAAAGGGTAGCAACGCTTTTGCAAACGTCCATGGGCGGCGGTTATCACTTACCAGTAGGTGTACCGCCAGCGCGCTTGAAGCTTCTCACACGAAAAAAATCAATATGCCATTCGATTCAGCGCTTCTTCAATTTTTAGTAGGCTAGTTTAATTCAAAGCTACGTGAAGTCTGCCAGTCCGCGCTGGGCTCGGTCTGCTCCCAAAGGCAATCACCCAGCAATGGCCCACATTTTTTTTAATGTGAAAAGTTGCCAAACTAGCAGACGGTTCACCTGATGTTAAGTGAATATCGCCGCCCATGGACATCTGCTACACCCGAGGGTTACAGATGCGTTGACAACCTTTTGAAAATTAGGCTCCGGCTACCTCACTCACCAGACGAAACGCGAAAGTATTTGTAATACTTCCACTTTACGCTGGTCTTCTGTGAAGGCGTGTTACCCGGACGGGCGTGCCCATTTGTGCAATAGACGAGGCTGCTGCGTGGCCCTACCACCGTTAGAATATATACTAGCATATATTACTTTACTTATTAGTAGCAACAAAGAAATATAATAATGAAGTACGGACGGTCCGTACCTACAGGTAGAGCACGCTTATCGCAATGAGGACAAGTTCAGCTTGTCGCGTAAATAGTTTGCGTATAAGCTGAGAACAAATTTGTTATAAGTCGGTAGCACAGTTGGCAAGGTATTGGCTTCGACGTCGGGTGTCGTGATTTCGTTTCCCACCGCGGTGTTTGTCCACGTTAAATTTATGTTTGTAAAACATCTTTACAACACAGGATAATGCGGATAGCATCCATTGCACTCATTATCATCATCATCATCATTTCAGCCTGTTTGTGTCCACTGATGAACATAGGCCTCCCCGCGGACTGCCACGAGGCACGATCCCGTGCCGCCTGCGTCCATCGACTTCCCGCACATTTGCACAGGTCGTCACTCTATCTAATGAACCGTCGTCCTATACTGCGATGACCAGTACGAGGCTGCCACTCGAGAAGCTGTCTTCCCCACTGATTAACGGTCCTGTGATGTATATGGCCGGCCCATCGCCACTCAGCTTACTAACCTTAAGGTTATCTTTGTACATTGCACCAGTCGAGATCAATCCACTGTTTACAACAATCATACTTAAACGACATAAGAGGAACGGACCTTTAGATGTTGCCAACGCCAATAATTCATTCTATTGGCATAAATAAACAACGATACAAGCGAATCATAGCCTAGATTCACGTCACCGAATCTGGCACGAACAAATTAAGCGACGCGACGCTGATAAGACGTACGATAAGGGACGTCACATGGGCAGTTAAGTTCGGAAACAAACGACTTCGCCGCCATATATTTTTGGCTGAACACCCTCGTTTGCTGCGATAGATTCCGTCAAATTGATCGTTCCACGAGCCGTCTCGTGAAATCTCAGATTAATATTCGACAGGGCAACGCGCCTCTATCGCCCAAGGAAATTAAGAATAATATAATGAATGGATACAAAAATAGCATGCTAGCTGACGTATGTGTTTCCTCGTTTTTTACATCAAAACGCTGTCGAACAAAGTGTTGCGTATCGTCGCTGAAACGCATGTAACAATTTTGCCAGAAACGTTCTTTCATTCCGAATTTTATGAGGAAGATATCACGGTTAGAGAAAATGCTAACAAGAGCCATTTATTAGCCCAGTATATCTTAGTCACCAATGACTTACCTATTTATTTAAAAAATAATCGTGTGATGAACCCCCAATATATATGTTTATAAAGTCTGTAATGTAAATAATAATAACATTATGGCAATAAAACAAACTTTATGAAAAACAACGCGTCACTATAGTATGTTCTCCCCACAGAAAACATAATTTCTAAACAACAGAAGTATGTCGCAAATGAAAGAGACTAAACCAATCGATACTTGACTCAATGCACATAGATAATTCATCGTTATCCAACGCTTCCACTATAAACTAGACGTTTCAAACGCACCATTAAACCAATTGTTAGGCTGAATGCCCTCGGAGATTGTGACACACACATAGAAAGATAGTATAAAGAAAGACATTTATGGATATAATAAATGTTAACCGCAACAAATATATATTTCAGTCGCGAGATAAATATAACAAAGGAGCGAGGAAACGACCTGCGCGACTCCTTAACATAAACAAACAATTTAAATTCAACTTTCCGCGACATAACTCAGCGGGCCGAACCAAACTGCGGCGCGGAAGAGTGGGGAAAAAACAAAACAATAATAAAAGTCATTTCGTCAGCTAAATTGTCATTTAAAGGGCGCATTTCCGTATATATAACACGTGATGGTATTAATAAAACTCTAATGCCTAACCAAAATGCTACATCTTTGTTCCAATTGTTTGAGTAATTTTGTCGCTTGTCCGCACTGAAAGATTTCTTTTCCGTTACAAATTTAGTCGTTTCCCATAACTGTCCGGGTTCGACTGAAACAGAAAAAGCGGCCAAGTCCGAGTCGTGCACGAAGGGTTCCGTACCATTATCTATAAAAATGGCAAGAAAATATCATGTCCGTTGTATGGGAGCACCACTTAAATATTTTTTTATTCTGTTTTTTAGTACTTGTAATAGCGGCAACAGAAATACATCATCTGTGGAAATCTCAACTGTAACTATCACGTTTCATAAGTTACAGCCTGGTGACAGACAGCGGAGTCTTAGTAACAGGGTCCCGTCTAACCCTATGCGTACGGAACCCTAAAAAGAAGCGACGACATTAAAATGTTTATGCCGGGATGTTCGATGGGCGCCTCAATGGCATGCTTACCGTTTCACATTAGATATTCCCCGTAGCATCTCGCGGAGGTGAGGGTGTGTAAAAAAAGCCTTCGAACATCTGCTATCTCCCCTTCCGATATTAAAAGATGTGTGGAGTTTGGGAGTTTATAAAAAACAGGTGCGTCGTATAGCACCCGTGATGGGTAGGGTAGGGATGATATAGACGTGCTCCGGTGTGTCGTCGCGTGTTTTCCAGATGGTAGAGCTTTTATGAAGTGCTATGAAAGATATATGTTTCAGTCGTTTCTTGTAAGGTAACATTTTTGATCTGCTTCATTACATTTAATGAACCTACTTAATCGCAAATTGCTATCTCGAAACGGTAAATACTCCAGTTTTCGAAACATCGAGTGGTAAAATTAATATTAGGGACTCGAAATGAAAAATCAATTGGCTATGAAAAGAGAATCCGGATAGTCTTCAAGAAACTTTAAAATAATGTATGAATTTTAAGCTAGAACATTTCTTGAGGTCAATGTTACTTACATTATAGACTCATAAAAGCGATTCGATGAAGCGGTTCAACCAAAACACTAACAAAGTGAAATCTCATACGGTTTGTTTAAGAGAAGAGAGAATAGATCTAAAGTTGAATCTAATAGAAATTTCGGTTAAGTTTACTGTAGTTGAGTCACAATAAACTTGACCGAACAGTCTTCGCTGTTTCTCGAATAGGCAGTTCCGTCCGGGTAAGTACCACGACCTCACAGAAGACCGGCGTGACGTGGAAGTTTTGCACTTCTGCGTTTCGTCTGGCGAGTAAGGTAGCCGGGGCCCACTTTAGTATGAGGTGGCAACGCATCTGCTACTCTACGGGACTTGCAAATGTCAATGGGCGGCGGTTAACACTTAACATCAGATGAACCGCCCGCTCGCTTGCCACCGTCTCGCATAAAAAAGAGACGGCGAACAGTACTTTAGCATCATCTCCTACGAACGATAATTATCCTGCTTCCCGAAAGCGCAGCCCTGGACTGCAAAATTACTTTAGACTTACGCCAGACGTCTACGAAGTTGTTTGCGGCGGTCGTCGACGCTTCACGCCGGCGACATAATGGGCCCGACAGCGTTTAAGCTAATTAAACCCGAGGCAATTGAATGTAATTCGTTTCCCTAGTACATTATGCTTCGCTTTTGATATATACTTTAGTTTAAATTTTGATAGTGCTAATCTCCGCACTTAAGATGAGATATTAAAATTTGTTGAAAAGGGGACGAAGAGTTTTTCGCCGCTGGGGGAATTGAAACCACGTCTTCCGGAGCATCTGGACGCTAATCCGAAAGAAGCTGGTTCTGTTCCCGCAGCTGTGACGGACTTTTCGTCCCTTTTATCTACAAACTTTAATAGACTGCAATTGCCTGTAACTCTACGAATTAAGATTTTTACCGTATATCGAGCTCTGTCTGCGGCAACTGATGCGATATCCTCTCACCTCTCATGTGATATGTGTATGCTTTTAAAAGAGGGGCAAACAGGCAAGCAGTTGTATCTGCCTCTCCATTCAAAACATTAAATTTTGTGTCTCCGATGCATCATTGAAAAAATGTAATGATGTAAGCATTTGATTATATTGATAACATTCATAGCTAACTTTTAAAGCTTTTTCTAAAAATGTAATCAAGCGATGCAACGAAATTTCTGTACTGCTTCGAAATAACGCAAAATATCATCAAATTAAAATATAATAAATAATGTAAAAAACAAGGTAAACGTTATATCGCAGTGTAGGAAGTCCTATTTACAATAGCGTACCATAGGTCTTGTTGTCCAGAGGTTGGACTAACCAGGTCTCTGTCCGATACCTGGCAGAAGCCACTACGGGTACGCGACCCCGGACTGCTCCAGCTACTAGTGCCACATTCCTTTTCCTCCGTGGCACTGGTATCCTAAACCATATCCTATCCTCCATCCAGACCTCGTGGGTGCTGTTCATCCTTCATCCCTCCTTACTTTCGGGTCTTCTTTGGCGTAGTAGAGATACAGCGTCGCTTTTTGCCAACCGTCTCTAAGATGCAAAATTCTGTTAAAATCGCTGATCTCTACATTCTCTCGTTTGTGGCTATAAGACGCTGCAAATCCACCGCAGCAGCCACGCCTAATCTCCCGTGGCGGTAGACGGGATTAAATCCGACGAGGGGAGGGCAAATAAAAACCCTGAAACGACAACACCTGGACTCCTAAAAGAAGGAAAACTAAGGATAAACCCGGAAACGGCGCCTGGAACCTGCGGCCGAACCGGCACCACACGTAATGACTCGTCATTCCTGTGGATCCTGTCGGGGAGGAAGGAGAGGGTGGTGTGGGCTCTGGGCAAGCCCGCGTGCCATAAAGTCGTCTGTCCCAGGCGCAGCAGCATCCGCGGAGAGGATACTTCGCCCACCTGCGATTCAGGGGGGAAACAACACGGGGAGTGGCAGTTACTGGTTATAAGCTCGCACAAATAGGCGTCATACGTGCGGGCGCCAGGGGCTACTCTCGACAGTGAGAGGATCCATCGAAGATCTACTGATCAGTTACCGTCTGCTACCATAAGTCTATTTTCTCGCAGGTATAGTACATATTATCGAACGAATTGGTGCAGTGGAAGTAGTGTCTCTTACTCCTGCGGATGAGTCTGTAGTACAAGCTACTAACTTTATTATAAAATCGAACAATAAGCTATCACCACTCCAAATTTAATTCAAATACACGAGAAGTGCAACCAACACACTGGCGTTTATAAATTGGAGCAATCGTCTCGTCTAGATCGAGGCACCGATAGCGTTTCTCGATCCCGGGCCGATTTTGCACCGACCATCGAGGGTCGCTTCGACCACGTCGGGCAACTTCCACAAATCCAATTACCGGCGCGGAACCCTGGAAATGCTAAACCGATTATGCAGAATTGAAAACATTAAGCACTCCGGAAGTTTCCGCGGAGCGAGCCGTCGCAAAACGCACCCTATCGCTATTAGGCAAAGTGCAAAATGCCTCGTGGGGGTGCGATGGCGGTGTCAAAGATAGAATTCGAATGGGAATTATTTACGAGTGGCTTTATTCCGCGGGCCCCGTAAAGAAGGCGCTGATTAGGAAAGTTTGATAAGTTGCCGTTTTAAAGCACCATCGACGCTCCGACGGGAATCGACCTTAAATTGCGTTTTATTGCCAATTCGAATTAACAGAACTTCGTTTGAATATCGAAACGTTCAATCTAAGTACCCAATTAACCGTCCGCTGTATATAAGTATTCACAAATCAGAAAAATGAGGATGAATGTAAGCATAATTAAATTACAGGAAATCGTACTGTCAAGTAAGAGTAAGTAAGCAAGATCCAAAGTGTCAAAAACATTCAGACTAAGTAAAGTGGAAAACGAAGAAGATGAGAAGGTAAACGAAACCGTAGCAATGCTTATCATCTGTAAGCTACTCTATTCATTCAAAGTATTCGGAGGTCGTGAGTTCGATTCCCATACGAGACAACCATTTGTATGACCCACAGATAATTGTTTCCGATCTGGGTGTTAGACCACGATAAATGTATGTACGTAAAACGTCCTTAAAACGCGGGATAATTTTATCCTAAAGGACAATAATTTAAATAAAAATTGTACACATAATCGACAATAACGGGACCGCACTTCTTTAACATACAGATTTTCTTACGATTAGAAACCTGATTTGATGATTTTTTTTAGGGGAAAACGGCAACTGAACTGGTGGCTCACCTGATCTAAAGCGATAGTCGCCGCCCATTTACATTTGCAACACCCGTAGTATGTTGCAAATGCGTTGCGACCTGATAATAAAGTAGGCCCTGGCTACCTGACTAACCAGACGAAACGCAGAAGTATAATACTTCCACTTCAAGCCGGTCTTCTGTGAGGTCGTGGTACTTACCCGGACGGACCTGCCCATTTGGGCAGCCGCGGTGCATGAATTCTTAACAATAGAATTAATAACCGGGATTCGTACCAAGGTTGTCCGAGTACACGGATTTAAAAGAGCGGACGCCCGACTGCACTGATGTGATTAAAAATACAATGTAACACGCATCCGCAGCAATATTGAAAAAGTCAATTCCGAAGAACGCCCACATACAATGTTCGCGGTTAAATTTGAGCGACAATGGACTTTATGACTATTGTCTTAAGGGAATACTGGTTAAAAGCGGCAAATGACACAGAAACCACTAGTCGGTAGCGACTACACAGGTCGTGAGTCACGACTCGAAAGAGAAGGCTTCAAGGATATTCGCAAATAAAAGTTACCCGCATCCTGTTTAAGGGAATGTTAAATAGAGATACAGAGAAAGAGACAGACATACTATTGTGAGAGAAAGTGGCAGATGAGCAAGCGGTTCACCCCGGAACGACACCCGCGGGTTAGGAGGCGCGTTGCAAACCTAAAACTGTGGACTACCTCATCATAGCAAACGTAAGTATTCGTGCAACTTTGCTGTTGCCCGAATGGGCAGGGTCGTCCGAGTAAGAAGCGCGCCTGGTTTCGTCTGGTCTGTTATTATTATAAGGTGGCAGCGCATCTGCAGCCCTACGGGTTGCAGTTGTCCATGATTATTGCTTACCGCCATCTCGCCGGCCACCATGTCATATATAAAAATCAATAAAGTATACACTTTACATGTGTACACATGTACCAAAAACTTTTGGCTCTTAAGATTGTTTAATAAGCCCCTTGGGTCGTTATCTTGCTCCTGCCCTTACCTCACCTCGGTGGGGTCGGAACATGTGAAACATATTGATATTGACATTTTACAACCTGTCTGCCTGCCGTCCCAGATCTGGATGATTGTTCGGCTACGGATGCTCCTCGGGAACAAACATCCAGATCCGGAACGATTGTCTACAGGTCACACAAATACTTGTACCGTTTGGGAATCGAGCCAAAAACCCCTGGCGCCTAGGCCTAGTTCAACATCTGCGCCAACCAGTCACCTTAAGACGGATATTTGATTGATTGATTGCATATCGGATGATAATTCAAAGCAAACGAACACACGCCTTCACTCTACATCATCATTTCAGCCTGTTTGTGTCCACTGCTGAACATAGGCCTCCCCCGCAGACTGCCACGAAGCACGATCCTGAGCCACCTGCATCCATCGACTTCCAGCATATATGCACAGGTCGTCACACCATCTAGTGGGGGGTCGTCCCACACTGCGATAGCCACTCTACATACATTTGAAATCCCCACAAATAATTTATCAATTCCACAGTGAAACCCGATCCCGCTGAATCGGAGAACAAAAACTACGAATTACCTACTTCTCGTCAAAATTTCTGAAATTTAATTTTCCCATCCAGCGAGACTTGTCATTGCACAAGCGATTACGAAAGATAAAAAACACGATAGTCCTTTGTTCACGTCAACGTTTTAATATCCGCGGCAAAGGGAGCTTAAAAGTGACTAATATTTTTCCTTATGTATTAGTCATTTATAAGTATATTTTATCATATATAAGTATTTCTATGTATTTTTCTCTACGTATACGTTTCTCTGTGTACTTGGCCTCTAAATTTCCATTACATAGTTCTCACAGGTTATTTTAAATCTGACTTAGATTTTGGTTCAGCCTAAGAGGTATCATTCAAAGTTATTAAAGATAATTCAGGCATTGGTTGCCCTACAACGCAATTGGACAAAGGTATTTTACTAAATATGATCTACTTATATCTGATACTGTATATTTTTTTGTATATGATATTGTGGCTGGGATTCTGGCTAAAGTCGCAAAGTCCACATTGAGGTGAGGTATTGCAAATTTGCTTGTCTCGAGAGACAAACGACACCTAAAACATTTCATGTGCTGATTTATCCCGGTGCGCAATTGAAGGGAAACCTCGCGAGGAAACACAAAATACAAAACAGTTTTGTCATTTGCATGTTTTCGAAATACGTAACAATAAACAAAGTATCTCGGAATTTTAGAGTTATAAGCGTGGTTGAAAACGCCCTAACTGTGGTATAGAGAGAATCTTCCTCTTTACCTTTAAACTTTACTCTCGTTTACTATCTAGGTTTAAGACTGATTACTACTAATTTTTTTTCTCTAGTGTGACGTGGAGAGGCCTTTTAGCTCATTCAAGTTTCTTGTTCGAATATTTTCTTTGACACTAAAAGTTGTCGACGGCTGTTTAACATTTTGAGCGATAGCAAAAGCTGCCGGTAATCTAACGCAAGCGAGGCTTGAAACATTCGCCGTCTCCCTCGCTCTTGATGTCCCGCTCTCACCCACGCTGAACTTAGCCTTAGTTGTAACCCCCAGCCGATATTGAATATTAATACGAGCCTCCCGTTTCCCATAACGAAAGCGTTCCATGTCGTGATCTTCGACCTTGCGCCATTGTCTGCTTGGGCTTGGCTTGGAGGCGACATCAACAAGACGGACCGCAAACAGATAGCAGCTTGACGACGCCCGAGACTCTGGTTAATCGATGTGATATATGCCCGGTTCCTATACTCACCGAACGGCCGTTAATTCTTTCTTTTCTTTTATGTGAAAAGTAGCCAAGCGAGCAGACAGTTCACCTGATTGTTACATAGCTTCGTAACTTTCATAGCGACTTTTAGATTAAAGGAACGATAGTAGCTCACTTTCCGTAATGCAACGGGTCGTATGGAAAACGCCTCGTTTTGTTTATATAGGAACCGTTCATACACGCCTTTTATCTACAAGTCGTTATGGAAATTACGAAGCTATGTAACTAACGGCCGTTCGTAAGAATATAGGAACTGGGTGATAACGATTTCTGGCGTGGGAACCGAACATTACCAGCTTAGTTCTTGCTGGTTCGCCTCTTCGTAATAGTCGCAAGTTTTGTAAAAACAATTTAAACTAAAAAAATTCGAAAAACATATTAGGCATTCAAAGGGAAAAAACTAGTCATTAAAAATCCTGTGCATTTTAAATAAATTTTATAAGACAATACAGAAGACTTGTATTTAAAAATTGACAAAAAATAACCTACTTAATCGCTAAATATAGTTATTATCGTCTTTAACATAAATATAAAAGGTGCTGCGTTTTGCGTGCTGTTCCAAATCAAATTTCAAGTATCATTTACTTTTAAAAGAATACGAAACAAGTTTATTTTTTACCTTGGTTCATTATTTACATATAATCAACTACCTAATTTAAAAATAAAATATAAAAACATAGTAATCGAACTTATAACATGCCATAATTTAAATTTCGAACGATTTACATTTATCTACTTTTTTAAATATGTTAATACTCTGAGCGCAAAATTTTTCAAGAAGCATTAGGCGTTCACTTTTTATAATATATCGACATTTAAAATTCAAATTTGCGATTAAAAGGAAGTCAAGAACAATTATTTCGCAGATAACGCGACTAAATTGCAAATTAATGTACCTAACGGGTTGCGCCAGTTTTGTAAGAAATAAGAATGCTACTAGCCACCGGATAAAATTTCTGCGAGAATATAAACGGAGCATTCCGTTGAAATTAAAATTCAAATAATTATCTTTATTTAATGAAGAAGCATTACACTTACGTATTGTTTGTCAAAATATTACTACCGGTTTGGAAAAAAGCCATTGACCTAAAAAGAAGCGGCGAAGGAAAGGAAGGCAATTTTTTGTACCATTATTTGACATTTTTTGTCAAATAATGAAAGAGCCTGGAGCAATCAATTCATTTCCTGAGTGTGTTATCATTTAAATAATCACTGATATTATGATAAAAAGTTAAAGAATGAACCATCTTGTATCTTGTATTAACTGATGTTTTTGCTTTCATTCCCGAGACTATTAAATCTTCATCTGACGCAGAACCGGTGGGCTAGCCAGAACCCACCTTTGGGCCCTCCGCTATGGGTAGGGCCGCGAATGTGCTCATGTGTGCGTTTAACTATGGTGTGTCATCTAAGGGCCATCGAGGTTGCGGTGTGGATCGAGACCCCGATGGCCGTCGACTGTGTTTTTAGCTAATCGGTGGCTGGGGGCGGTGAGAACCGCCCTGGAACGCGGGATGAGTGATCCATCCACCATAACTATAGTGTTATTAAAACATTAATAAGTCTCACGGCTAAAAATGTACATAACATTTATTATCAAATATCAACCTAGTTTCGATTTTCAAAGTAGTTGTTCACTGAAATTACAAAAGATTCAAAACCAAAACATATAATTTATTTGATTTGGACATATTTCGACTACTTAGTATAATTAGGCTGTGGGTAATTCTGCCAAACTGAAGTTATTGCTCACCATATTTGAATACAATCTAACTATTATTCAATTTCTTAAAAGAAATCGCGTGCCATTTTATATATGAACCCTTATTAGGGGTGCGGTATCACCATCTGGAAAATAAAAATCGGTTTCTAATTAAACGGAAACAGAGAGCGTTTAAATTTAACAGCCAATTTAACATGCTAGTACATGTAATAGCCAAAGAAAGAACGGATAAGTTGTTACTTAACCGAGAGTTAAAGCAAAACGCGGTGGCGTTCGATCCAAAACTACTTATTGAACTGTGTTCAGTGTTTAGAGACACAGACCGTTCGTGCGGAACACGGCATCGACTCCCAAACCGAGTTGCATCCGCGTATATCTTTTGAAATATGCATGACGCGGCCCGCGTAACACTCATTAGGGCCGAGAATGGCGATGACCGTGGACAGGGCCGCACAATGTTTGAAAACAACGCCTACGCCTCTGGCGACGGCGGCGGAATACTGATGGCCTCTTGGGTACGTGTCACATGTTAGAAGAATCAAAGCCGCGTAGCGAAATGTGCTGGCACGTTGCGATGAAACAGTTTTTTCGGCGATTTCACTGCTATTAAGGTTTTTTAATTAGCCACGTTTCGAATGCTCTGCAACACAGATTGAAGAACAGGTGGTAGGTACATTAGCCGGCCGATGTTGTTCAGCGCTTGGTTTAGTCAAAAAGGCCGTTATACCCTATCGTCGCCAAAACAAATGTAAAATGGACCTCATGGTGATCACTAAGTCATTAGGCCAAAAAAAAAAACAACAGTGTACCTAATTAACTAATAGCTGCCACGCTGCTCCACGCTGATAAACTCACGGATTTAATTATGTAAAAAAATGTAGAATAGTCACTAGTCAGTAGAAGACCGCAGAGTTTCTTGCCAGTTCCTCTCTGATCAGGTCTAGTCTAGTGAGACTGTGGTAGTTTTTTTTTGACGTGCAATAAGAGCATAAATGAAGCCTATATCGAATAAAGAAATTTTGACTTTCGTTTTGAGAAGCTGTCGTCCGAACTGTCGACGTCCATAGCAGCGAAAACGGGCCGAGCAACAATACAATAGGCATGTTTTCCTGCACGTTCGAAATTCGAACGCGCCGCCGGCGTTTTGGCGGGAATTCGTTAATTAAAACCGTACTAGGCACCGTAAGGACGGACGGAGCGTCGCATTGTGCGACACGACGGTTGGGAAGCTTTCGGCGGGAACGTGACTCACGACCGGCATTCAATCGGCCCGGAGAGTCGCACCGATATACCGTTCGCTATCCGGCGTTAACGCCCATGTTAACTTACGTAATAGCATATTCCTAATCTTGTAACTTCTTATGTTTACGCAAATAATGTAGTGTGCGAATTCTATCTGCTTACGAAGTTCGTGCGGGTCATTGAGCAATACATTTTGCCGGTACCGCAGGGCCTACGAGACGGGTGTCAGAAAAGTATTTTCATCTCGTTCAGTTTCGGTCGTTCTGTCTCACAGGACGCGATAGAGTATAGTTGCGAAGAACGTCGTTAAAGGGTTTTGTAAATTTATTTTATAATATTAATTTTTAATTTTTGCACTCGACAGTAAAAGCTCAGAACTAGCGGGAAGAACTTTGCTAGGGTGCATTTCCTGTGTGTGCTCGCTCGGTCTGGGCGCATGTTTTCTCGTGTTTAGGCGAATATTACTCGTCGTCAATTAAAACAGGTTTACAGATCTTGTCGTCTAGAAATTCCCGGCCAATTTTCGAACACCACAGACGTAATAATATTATGTTTGTCGCCCCTACCGTCATCAGCTTTTCTATTATCATAATATACATAGCCCTGAACGTTTTTAATTATTGTAGTTATTGAAATAAGTTTAACTAGCGATATGTGTTCCAGTTCATGTGTTCCGTATAATAATAATCTTTGACGATAATAATAAATTAACAATTTTTATACACTTTTCCTTTACTTGTTTAAGAAAAAAATACTTGACCATTATTAGATAAACTTTAACACTCCGACGTTATCGTACAAAAATTATAGCGCGATGAACGCGCCATTATGTAACGTAACCTCCAAAATGTTTCCATGATAACTTCATAAGACAAACATTTACATTCAAGTAACACATACATGACCATTCTATATCATCATATAAAGTCATCATCATAAAGTTGTGCGCGGCTGGTGGTAACGAGATGGCATATGGCCGTACTGTTGTCCAACGCAGCCTGCGTGATGATGGTGTTGAAACATTTTTCAAAACTGTCATATATTTAGACCGACGTGAACGATTGAAAATGGCAAAGCGTAGTTCGTTGTGGCGTTCAAGTGGAAGACGTATGTTCTACGGTGGACGCCTTGTGGCTGATGATGAACTTCTCATCGTTTGATAGATCGAGATATCTTGTCATCATCAAATTAACTGCAAGCTCGCTTTTCATCACTTCAGAAAGTCGCAATAACAAGGAAAAGGACTATTTCGAATGAAACCTCATTTCATTAACATAACATTTTTTTTTAAATGAAACTAAAAAAATCTTACGGTTTTTTCGCGTTCAATATTGATTTAAATTCCCGAGCTTATATGACCATTATAGTGACATCTACTTCACAATGTGTTATATTCTTAAACGCAAGAATTCAACATGTAAAGCTATCATAGACTTGTTAAATTAATATATTATGACAAGTCCCTAACATTATCTTTATTTCTAAACATTTCATCAAGTTATTTTTTTTTTGTATCAAAATATAAATTTCTTTATTCATTGACCTTCGTAACCCATATATTGAATAGCGGTAAAATAACGATTTTATTCGAATAATTTTATAATTTTAATCGAATAACTTTTTTTAATTTTAATTGAAAAGTTACATTTCTAATTATGGTCGACTCAGCAAATTTCTTAAAAATAACACGTTAATAAACAAGAGGTCTAACGTCACCGTTTTAATACGTAATAGATATAACACCGAGCGACCGTCACGTTTTAATTCTAGTTGAACCTGATACCGGTGTGGGCTTTTAGGTGAAGGTCGAGACGAGTCTGCCGACGTCACTTCCGGTGGCGAACAGCGGGGCAACAATTGCAAGCGTACACCTAACACTGTAAAGAGGTTTTATTTAATCACCTACGGACCTCGTTGCTGCACTGTCATAACACTGGCGAGCAAAGTTAATTCCACGTCAATTTTTTTTCTTATTATTGTTCAGTTTTCGAATGTTATAATTCTGATGCAGGCCTGTCAGCTTTTCGCTTCAGCACTTTAATGCTCGGCTGGGAATTAAGCGGTTGACTGTTCCAATTTTTTTTATTATTTGTTATGCTGCTAAATACATACTTTTATATTTGTCAAAAGAAACTGTGTGGTTTCTTAGTACAAATCAACATATTGTTCGAGGGAAGCACGATGTACTCGGAGCAGCCACAATATTAATACAACCGCGGTTAAAAAAAAAAGAAAACCGATCAAGTGCGAGTTGAACTCATACGTCGAGGGTTCCGTACCTACCTATTATACCGCCATAATCAAATCGGTAAATAATCACCACCAATTTTTTCAAGAACGGGTGGACCCAGCGAGTTGAAATTTATACCAAATACTGAGGTCCAGTTCAACTTGCTAGTGCTCCTGAGAAAATCGGTAGTGACACACTCTCTCACACAAGAGAGTGACCTTTTATTCACTTCTAAGGTACGGAACCCTAAAAAACATGGCCCTTACTGTAGGACAACATTATCCTGTGTTGTGAGGACGTTTTACGAACACGAATTTCACGTGGACAAAAACCCAGATAAGAAACAATTATCTGTGGCTCACACAAATAGTTGTCGCGTGTTGGAATCGAACCCACGACCGAACACGAAGCCAATACCTGGACAATTACGCCACGGAGTCGACTATTGCATCCCTCACAACCCATCGATTATCATCATTACGATCCACGAGAGCTGTTTCATTGAGGAATCTCGGAATCCAACCGCTGCGGTATAACCGGTTACCACAACAATGCTACAATAGAGTTCCTTGAACACGTTTTACAAGCACATTCTTGAATTTTCTTTTGTAAACACCGATTTCTCGTATTAACGCGAACACATTATATGGAATAGTTTTTCGAAGTTACACTTCTTTAGGCGCATTTGAAGAAAATTAAGAGTGTAAATTTATACGATACGCGCTTAACGACAGCCAAAAAGCTAGGTGATAAATTTGGTTGCAAAGCGACCAACTTAACAGTTTTACCATGATAACGATATAACCAATTACAACTTTTTTGAAATTTACCTATAATTTCAAGTAATTTAATTAAACCGTTATCAATTGCATTAAATTTATTTTCCACAAACGAAGAGTACTGGCACAGGGGATAAAATTTTTAGTGTATTTTTCTTTTTTTACGCTAAAGAACTAGTGCGTAATACTTCTACTAGTTCTTACGTGAGTACATAAGTATACATATGAAGAGCTGTCAACAAACTCTACTAAAAGCCCGCTTTATTTTTCTAAGACCAAATAAACAGGACACGACACGTCATTCTCCAGCTCCGATAAAAAATAAAAGCACGAAAATTTTATTCAACTGTTCGCCTCTTTTTAGGTCATCTTCGCGTGGTCGGAAGTGGTTCAACGGATTATATAACGTATGCATATGAACAACAGATCTAATTTTCTACGCATGTCTCGGATGATGCATCGAAGGTGGCAGATAAAATCGGTCCGATCGAGCGGGTAAAATTTCGCATACGATTACGATACACAAATCGCGAACATATCACCCGTAAAGGCATCCAATGCAATTCCTTAACCAGATTAAATTCCATACACACACACCCAAAACATCACATAACTGGTTGAACAGAGGCAGTTAACGATGTCCACATTTCGAACAGTTCACGCAACTTGATATTCAGTTTTATAAAACAGTGCCACGAAAAAGTAGGCTCGACTAATTACCCCAGCATAAAATATAAGTATTTAATGCTTTTGTGTCTCTTCCGGTAAGTGAGGGAACTGCAACGCTTTCAACATCTTTCGTTTTGAGAGTGTGTAGGCGTTCGCTCAATTAGTATCCGTATGTAATTTAAAAAAAGACTTTCTTCCCATTCTTTTTTACTATCTCGCTCGCATTAAAAAAACATATCAACAGATATATGTAACAGGTTGATTAATATCAAACATACATACAGAGCAAAGCATGCACAGAGATTTCATACAGGATTGGTGCTAAAAACTTAGTATTTATTAAACTTCCAATGTACAACGAAACCAAGGGTTTACAGTAAAATGATCGTTATATAGCATAACTCGTCTCTTTAGGTGTTTTAGGGCATGTTTGTATGAGATTTATTTTTCAATCTATATTTTATTGTATCTTATTTTTCTTATTATTTTTCCTTTCCAATAGCTTTGTCTTTTGTTTTAAAATTTATAAATCAATATTGGTTAATGATATCGAACTATGTAGTGTACGGCGGACTGTATCTATTAGTTCCGTTATTCAGTTAATTGTTAAAATTATTGTACTGTTCGCTGCTCTGTGTGCTCAGTAAAAATAAAACGAAATAGACGATAGGGTATGCAAAACTTTTTTGCTTGTAAGGAGTGCACGCGCCTGTAACTTATAAGGAGAATTGCAGATCAAAAAAAAACATTGCATAACCTTATTTATAATCTACATCACGCATCTGACTAGTGATGGACTAACCTTTATGACGTACGCGGGTGCGAGACGTCCGAATTAAGCCTTCCGTTGAATCAACGACGCGTAAGATAACTTCGCCTTCCAATTAACGGGACGATAAGCGTTATCAGTTACTGGCAAAGGCACAACTCGCCGATTCAGAGTGGAACGGAGATATGCGGGTGTATCGCCGGGTCGAAGTTTAAGACAACTTAAATGTCGTACTTTATTATTTTCGCATACTTATCCCACTGTGACGTTGAGCGAACAAGACAGTTTACTATTCTAGAGCTGTATAGATGTTACTGTCTTGGTACATAAAACTGGCCAAGTGCGAGTTGGACTCGCGCACGAAGAGTTCCGTACAATTATCTAAACACGTCAAAAAATCATGTCTCCTGTGTTGGAGACCCTCTGAAATATTTTTTTTATTCGGTTTGTTTAGTAGTATTTGTTATTATAGCGGAAATATAAATACGTCATCTGTAAAAATTTCAACTGTCTAACTGTCACTGTTCACGAGCCTGGTGAAGACGGACAGGCAGACAGACAGACAGACAGCGGGGTCTTAGTAATACGGAAGTATGAAACCCTAAAAAGATACACATTACGCAGTATGATAGCATATTGATTAAGACATGTGTTTACTATATAATGTTAGCAATGTATACAACAGTGAATGAAGATTTTACCTCATATCGGTAATAGACGGTTACAGATCTCACTAATAGTTCGTAACGTAGATCATATGCGGCAGATAAATCACGAATTAAAAGTTAAAATAAAAGTTTATTGCATCGCATTTGGCATAAGATGACCTACGTAAGATACGTTTTGGTACATTTTTGATGCGTTCTAATCGAATGAAAAGTTCAGCAAGTTATGGTCGTAGTCTAAAGAGTATATAAACATCAACTCATCGATATTGGAACATGATGTAATTTTATGTGAAAAGTTGCCAAGCGAGCAGACGGTTCACCTGATGGTAAGTGAATACCGCCGCCCATAGACATCTGCTACACCCGAGGGTTGCAGATGACAACCTTTTGGAAATTGGGATCTACTCACTAGAAAATAATATAATATTTATACTATTTTTATCTTCTTCATTGGTGCCGGCCTCGGGGATTGAACTCAGGTTGCTCGAGTATATTGAATTAAAAGCAAGCGCCCAGACACTGAGCTATCACGGTTCTCTTTAAGTGCTGACTTATCACGTGCTCCGCGGTGAAGGAAAACATCGTGAGGAAACCTGCATATTTTCGAAATAATAACAAAAAAAAAATCTTTCGAAGATATGTGAAGTCCGCCAATCCGCAGTTGGGCCGCGTGGTGGACTATACCTCTGTATAGATAGAGGAGGCCTTTGTGTGCCTGCAGTGGGACATGTATAGACTGTTACTTTACTATTTTTATAGGACACAACGTTCTCTAGTCCCAAACTAAGCAACGCTTATACTATAGGTTATGGGTACTAGATAACTGATAAACATACTTAAACATAATTTTCTTTTGTAAACCCAGACACTATAAAAACACTATGTTCATCATGCAATATTTTTCCAGTAGTGGGGACCGAATCACACCCTCTGGCGCAGGAGGCAGGTACACTATCCACTTAGCCATTTGGGTCCTCTCGGGTCGAATAAACGAGGTTTCGCTATTTCGCTATTTTTTTACTAATGAATCTTACAATTACAAAGAGCACTCGACTTGTTCTCGGAAAGAATATTATGTTCTCCTACGACTATAATTAAACCTGTAAGTCGTAAAGTCAGTTCTCTCGAGTTCAACAATTCATAGATGGCAGCCCTAGCTTTAAGCGATGCTAGTTTATAGAGGTCCGTAAACAAATAGTATAACCATAAATAAATGGAAAAAATCCGGGACTGCAATATTGAAATTATTTAAAAATAATGAAATTATATTCTTAGTTTTTGTATACTACTTACAAGTCTCATCATCAGGTGTGATCATTCACGTGTGTTATCAAACATGAACTTAGTTTCGCATAGCTTTTGTCATAACAATAATCACAATAATTTATTTGTGTAATGAAAATATTTTTTTTACGGTGATATGGCCACGCAGCAGCCTCGGCTATTGCACGAATGGGCAGGCTCGTCCGAGTAAGTACCACGACCTCACAGAAGACCGGCGTGAAGTGGAAGTATAATACTTTCGCGTTTCGTCTGGTGGGTGAGGTGGCTTGAGCCCAATTTTCAAAAAGGTTGTCAACGCATCTGCTACCCTCGGGTGTAGCAGATGTCCATGGGCCGCGGTATTCACTTAACATCAGGTGAACCGTCTGTTCGTTCGGTAACTTTTCACATAAAAAAAAATATTTAAATCGCTACATTTTACTTATATCACAGAGTGAACAAATATCGTATTGACAGCAAACTTATATTTTGACGACCTTTT